ACTTAGTAATACACACTTAAGTTTCTTTCATGTCATCATGGCTTCATAACTCATTTCTTTTTAGTACCAAATAATATTCCATTGACTGCATGTACCAAAATGAATCCATTCACCTACTGAAGGACATCTTGGTTGCTTCCAAGTGTTTGCAGTTATGAATAAAGCTGCTATAAACATCATGTGCAGGTTTTTGTGTGAAGTTAAGTTTTCACCTCATTTGGGTAAATACTAAGGAGCAGATTGCTAGGTCATTTGGTAACAGTATGTTTAGTTTCACAAGAAAATGCCAAACTGTCTTCCAAAGTGGCTGTACTATTTTGCATTCCCACCAGCAATGAATGAAAATACCTGTTGTTCCACATCCTTACCAGCTTTGGTGTTATCAGTGTTCTGGATTTTGCCATTCTAATAGGTGTAGAGTGGTATCTCATTGTTTTAATTTGCATTTCCCTAATGACATGATGTTGAGCATCCTTTCATATTCTTATTTACCGTCATCTTTGGTGAGGTGTCTGTTCAGGGTTTTTTGCTCATTTTTTATGGTGTTGTTCATTTTCTTATTGTTGAGTTTAAGAGTTCTTTGTGTATTTGGGATAATAGTCCTTTACCAGATATGTCTTTTGCAATTATTTTCTCCCAGTGTGTTGTCTTCTCATTCTCTCGATGTGTTTTTTGCAGAGCAGAAGTTTTTAATTTTAATGAAGTCCATATTATCAGTTATTTCTTTTATGGATCATGCCTTTTGTGTTATATATGAAAAGTAATCATATAACTGGGCTCAGTGGCTCACACCTATAATCACAGGCTTTGGAAGGCTGAGGCAAGAGGATCACTTGAGCCCAAGAGTTTGGCTGCAGTAAGCCATAATCACACCATGATCACACCATGGTGTGATTATGCTGCAGTGAGCCATGATCATGCCCTCCAACAAATAAATAAAATAATTTATTTGTTTAGAGACTGTCTCTAAATTAAAATTGGTATTGCATTGAATCTTTAGATCAATAAATAAAATAAATAAAAAGTCATCACCAAACACAAGGTCATCTAGATTTTCTGCTGTTGTTATCTTTTAGGGGTTTTTAATCATTTTCTGTTTTACATTTAAGCCTATGATCCATTTTGAGTAAGTTTTCATGAAGAATGTGAAGTCTGTGTCTAGATTCACTTTTTTTGCATGTGGATGTCCAGTTGTTCCAGCACCATTTGTTGAAAATACCATCTTTTGTCCATTGCCCTTGTCCCTTTGTCAAAGATCAATCTGCTATATTTTGGAGTCTTCTGGAATCTCTATTCTGTTCCACTGACTTATTTGTCTATTCTTTCACAAATCTCATACTGTCCTGATTACTGTAGCTTTACAGTAAGTCTTGAAACCAGGTCAAATCAGCCCTCTGTTCCTTTTCAATATTGTGTTGGCCATTCTGGGTCTTTTGCCTCTCTATGTAAACCTTAGCATCTATTAGTTGATATTCACAAAATTTATTTGCTAAGATTTTGATTGGTATTGCATTGAATCTTCAGATCAAGTTGGGAAGAACTGACGTCTTGACAATATTTAGTCTTCCTGTTCATGAACACAGAATATCTCTCTGTGTATTTAGTGCTTCTGTGATCTCAACAGAGTTTTGTAGTTTTCCTCATACAGATCTTGTACATGCTTTTTTAGATTTTACCTTGACATAATCACTTACTAGTTTCAGGAGATTTTTGTTGACAATTCTTTCATATTTTCTTTCTTTTCTTTTTCTTTTTCTTTTCTTTCTTTTTTTTTTGAATCAGTGTCTCACTTTGTCGCTCAGGGTGAAGTGCAGAGTGGCATGATCTCAGTTCACTGCAACCTCCGCTTCCTGGGTTCAAGCACTTCTCCTGCCTCAGCCTCCCAAGGATTACAAGTTCATGTCACCACCCCCGGCTAATTTTTGTATTTTCAGTAAAGATAGGTTTCACCATGTTGGAGATTTTGTATAATACATAGATAACTGCATCATGTGTGAACAAAGACAGTTTTAGTTCGTCTTATCTAATCTGTATACCATTTATTTCCTTTGCTTATCTTACTGCATTAGCTAGGATTTCCAGTATGATGTTGAAAAGGAGTGCTAAGAGAGGAAATCCTTGCCTTATTGTTGATGTTAGTGAGAAAGCTTCTAGTTTCTAGTATGACATTAGTGTAGAGTTTCTATAGATGTTCTTTATCAAGTTGAGGAAGTTCTCTATTCCCACTTTGTTGAGAGTTTTTATGCTGAATGAGTGTTGAATTTTGTCAAATGCTTTTTCTTCATCTATTAATATGATCATGTGATTTTTCTTCTTTAGCAAGTGGCAGGGAAAATGACAATCTCAGAAGGGATCTTTCACATAAAGATTGTTTTCATTTCCTTCATTCCTTTTACCATATTCAGGACACTAAACATATGCTAGAATTCAGTGTGTGGCCTCCTTTGGTGATACTCTCAAGTCCCTTCTCCTAAATTGCTATAACCTATCAGTTATTCCTATCCAACTTTACTTCTTTTTTTCTACTTTAGGAAGTATCATTCCTTGATTCAGGATCAGGCTCGAGAGTTAACCCATCTACGGCAGAAGATGAAGCTTGGCAGAGTGGCCTCTGAGCTTCTCATTCAGCATGTCAAGAACACAGTAAAGGCCTTTGAGGAGCTACTCCACAGCAATAACATTGACCACTATATGGAGCAGCACTTCCGCGAGCAGCTGGCCAAAGGAAGCCAGCTGGCAGAGAGCCTTGCCAGAAAATTCAGCACGGGTAAGTTGGCTGCAGAGCTTAGGAAGATTTTCAGTCTTTCCCAAGGTCCTAAGTTCACAGGATCCCACCCCCATTCACAAGTCACTTTTCAACTGGTGTCCTGCTTTGTAATTACCACCTTAAGACCATGACAGAGTCAGGACTGGCTGGTAAGGAGCTCCAAGAAGAAGGGTTGAGGATGCCATGATGACCACCAGCACCTCCATCCCTCATGGAATATGACTGTGAGGGCAGGAGGCATCCCCGGGGATGATGGTATTTATCTGAAACTAATTGGCAGAAAGACAGAAGGAACAAGGGCAGCTGAACTGGGAAGGGCCCTGAACTGGGAATCCAAAGACCCTACCTCTAGCTTATATGTGTTCCTTACTAGCTCTGGACAGGTTAATATTTATTTTGATTTCTGTTTCTCTACCTAAAAAATTAAGTCAAATAATACCAGTCCTTGAATGTTACATGATTGTTCTAGGGATTAAATAAGTAACATTAATCAGCGCACTTCAAAAAAATGAAAAAGAATCATGTTGACTTTGGCATGGTTTAGTTGCTGTGTGTACTAGTACAAGGTGTTGAGATAATTAGCTGTTTCAGGAGCCTTTTACATGAAATTTCTCCCTGAGGACCCAAGGGCACATAGTAGCAGAAGGCGAGTTCACTGTGCTGTCTCCTCATGGCAGGTGGGACAGGGATGTCTATCATCTTGGAGAAGGGAGAAGGTTCTGCATGAAATCTATGGTGGAACACACAGCCAGGCGTTTGGGTGCTGGCCTTGTGCCAGGACTTGGAGGCTTTGACTGGAGTGGTCCAGAGGGCAGCTGGATACGTGTCCCATGATCTGTGGGAATAAAGACATTTTTAGCTTTTTGCTGTGACTCAGGGCAAAGCAAGTAGAGATGATGACCTTCTTGGTGGGCTCAGGAAAGCCTGCCAGGCAAGCTCTCTAAAGACTCAACCCAAGATCTGGGAAAATTCAGAGTATCCTGGAATCAAGGCAAGCATCAGGTAGTTAGGTCTCTGGTCCCAGATAGAACTCCGTGTTTGTCTGCAGTCTGGGAAATGAGACCCACTTAAAGCATGACTGGTCCTTTTGAATTTTGTTCTCAGATGACTGTACAACTAAGAAGAATCAAGTAGGACAGGTGCCTTCGACTCTCAGGTAACTCCAAATTTTCAGGGACTATCGAAGATGTAATCTGGTGAAGGATCCAGAAGCAAGAGCCAGAAGCTCAAAGAAATAGTAGCATACACGGCCAGTAAAAAAAAAATAGCTTATTTATTCATTAAACCATTATGTATCCTTAGTGATAAGGCAGTCTCACTTTTAAAAATTTCTAAAAAATGTATTATTCTTTTATTTTCACCAATTAATTCACCAGTTTAGTAATATAGAGCTGCTCTAACCTATCTGGGTCTTAGGAGTCTTCTGAACCTCCAGGGATTTCCCTTATTTAAAGACCAGAGTAAGATTATATCTGATTTCTTCAAGGGTGACCCAAGGAGTGCTGGAAGATGTTAAACAGCTACAAATTTTCCTTGCAAACAAAAGTTTATACTGTGTCTCTATACTTAGGGAAGGAGATCTAGAAACTGCAAGACAGCAGTGAGGTTACATTGCCCGGGGAATCTGTTTTAAACGGCCTACGGCAAATACTATTTAAAAAACTATGTTCACAGAGTGAGTTGAACTTTTTTTTTCTTTTTACATTTTTTAAAATTTATTTTTGAGATGAGGTCTTGCTCTGTTGCTCAGGCTGGAATGCAGTGGCACGATCACTGCTCACTGCATCCTTGACTTCCTGGGCTCAAGTGATCCTCCTCAGCCTCCTGAGTAGCTGGGACTACAGGTGCACACCACTACACCCAGCTCATTTTTTATTTTTATTTTTTGTAGAGAGAGGGTCTCTACTATGTTTCTCAATTTGGTCTTGAATTCCTGGGCTCAAGCAATTCTCCTGCCTTGGCCTCCCAGATTGCTGGGATTGCAGGCATGCGCCACCATGCCCATACCTGGAGTTGAACTCTTATGGGTCTCTGGGTGTCTTGTGAAGGAAGCATGAGTGTTATTTAAAGGGCCCGTTAAGGCTTCTCTTTTCCTCAGGATGTTTGTAGCCAATGCACCAGACAACTGCTGCTCTCCCTGCCCCCTGCCTTCCCTCCATACTCTATCCCTAAACAGAGATGAATTGTTTGGCGTCTCCTCTGAAGGAATGATCCTCTTGACCTCCCCTTTACTTCTCCTGTGAGCCTCCAGATTAGTACAGCTGTGGCATTAGGTGGCCTTTATTTTTTCTTCCTTCTTACCCCACTAGTATCTTGAGGAAGATGCATAATATGAGTAAAGTGACAGAAGACCTAGAGACCAAGCGGGATGCCCAGTCCCAGACTCAGCCCCAGATCTGGTGCAACAACCACACCCGGTCTGCCCCACATCACTCCCTGAGCAGCACGTCTCCACAGCTTGACAAGCAGGAAGTGCGTCCTTCAGTGACTGTAGTCAGTGAGTACCCACATGGTTCCAGTTTTTCGGTGCTCACACATTGTCTAGGCCAAGAGGTGGCATCTTTGCAGCTGGGCCCTATAGATCCACCGTGATGCACCTAGTCAGACATAGCTATGGGACTCAGTGCTCAGCATAAGCCCCAAAGGTTTCTGATAGCTTTTCTCCATTCCCAGTCTCACATGTCATCAGTCACTAGATCCTCTCTGACACATACATGGTGTTGGACTTGGGGGGCATGAGTTGGGAAGGGGAGAAAGGGGGCAAATAGTTCCTCTTCACTACACACAATTATGTCATCTTTCAAACTAGGGACATGAGTGTTGCTAACATTGTGCACCTGATCCTGGAATCCCTGGGGTAAACAGCCACAGTTCCTACTTTTTGTTCACCACTAAAATCACCTTTATCATTTGTGAATTTACAGACCCCATCCATCATCCTAATAAGTTTGCTATAACACCCTCTAAACCATCAGTAAACGGGGACATTCTGTGAGGTTCAAGCTGAGTATATCACCAACCAGCATAGCATGTCCCTCCTGAGAATTTCCCTGAGAGGGTCCTTGGGGTAGCCTTGTAGAGATGGGAAGAAGAGATTAAGTTTTTTTCTCCTGCTCAGTTTTCTCTTTAATTTTCCTCCTGAGAAAAGTGTTTGAAGTTTTAGGCCAGTATGAATCAAATCCTAATGTGGACAATACCAGGAAATTATTTTTAGTCCCTGGCTGTAGCTGATGTTTTTTTCTAAAGTGGCTATTTTAGGTAATGAATGAGCTATAATGGTTTTTTGTTGTTGTTGTTATTGTTTTTGAGATGGAGTTTTGCTGTTGTCGCCCAGGCTAGAGTGCAGTGGTGCGATCTCAGCTCACTGCAACCTCTGCCTCCTGCGTTCAAGTGATTCTCCAGCCTCAGCCTCCCAACTAGCTGGGATTACAGGTGCTTGATACCACGCTCGGTTAATTTTTATATTTTTAGTAGAGACAGGGTTTGACCATGTTGGCCAGGCTGGTCTCGAACTCCTGACCTCAGGTGATCCAACTGCCTCAGCCTCCCAAAGTGCATGAGCCACCATGCCCAGCCCGTAATGGGTTTTGATCTGGTACTACTCCCGTTTCTCATTTCACAATGAGGAGCAAAGCAGCAAAATGTTTCCTCTAAGATTATAGCAGCCAAAGAAAGACAAGAACTTCTCATTGATTGAGCACCTATTATGCTCACATTATTGACCACTATACATATATTGCCTCATTTAATTGACACAGTGATCCCCTCAAGTAGGTAGTGGTGTTCAGCTTTTCTAGTGGAGGACACTGAGGCTCAGCAAAGTTGAGGAACTTACTGAAGACAAAGCAGCTTGGGGTAACATACACTTTGAGTCTACCTGACTCAAAGCTCAGGTTCTGAGTATTTCACTCTGCAGCCTGAGAAGTCAGGGGCTGCATACGGAGGGTGCTCACTCCTCAGCACCTCTTTTGCTAGGCTTCTGGAGCCAGTGTTTTTCTCATTCCACTTTTTCTGCTCTGTGTACCCAGCACAGAGTTAAGCCCTCTGAAGATGGGACAAGACCTTATACATATTACACTTCTATCTAACCATTTGTAAATAGATGAGCTGCCCCTGATGTGCACATCACCTATTTCAAGGGGCCAACGGGACTTTTACGTGCATCCTTGATTCAGTTGCCCAGAGGCACTTGTTTCAACCTCAGCACTGCCCCGAGAGATGGCAGAAGGGCAAGCCCATGTTTCCCTTACCTGCAATCCCTGCCACTGCCTGCAGTGAGGTGTGGCCTCTGGAGTGATGCATCTGGAGAGCACTAGCCTTACTTTTTGCTGCGAATATCTTTCCTGAGGGAGACCGAAGCCCTTCTCTTTCCCATTGGAAGTCACTGTCCTTTCAGAGGGGCAACTGTTTATCACCACTTCCTCTTTGCTTTTTGAATCAGAATTTCTAGAACAGTCAACCTGTAGTGCACTGGCATGACAACTACACTGTGAGGCTAAATTTCCCTCACAAAAGTCTAGTCTCTGTTGCTTTCCATCTGCAGTGTAGGGCATGTTCCCCATGTGGTATGGCCAGGGAATGTTAAAACACTGATCACTGTTACTGATAAAACTTAGAACTTCCTATGGCCATGGTTGAGAGTAAACTGATTTTCTGAGATAAAGGAGGTTTGAAAGGGGGTGGGAATCACATTTTGATTGAGTTCCTACTTTAAGTCAGGCATTGTATTAAAGACTTAACATAGTTGTCCTTACTCTTTATTTCAGAGTGATTCTAATTAGTATCTGATATTTTATCAACTGGAGAAGGACAGACCTACTGGATACTGATTTAAATATACAGTTCCTAAAAGAACATGATGTTTTGAGGGCAAACAGAAACCTCACTCCCACCTGCTCAGAGGAGAAACTTGTCTATTCTTTAGCCCTTGATAATAATCCTTGAAAGGGGAAAGACTCAAACTTTTCTCTGAATTATGGCCCTGCCACCCCAGCTGGGTTTTTTCTCTTAAAGGGAGACAGTAATGAAGGGCCCAGAGGATCTGGCCATGTTGTCATGGCATCATTGAGCTGTAAGATGCCATGTGTTTTCTGATTCTACAATCCCCTATGCAACAGTACACTAGCTATTCTTTGGACAGGAGCCAGACAATGTGAGCTGTACATAAGAATTATTTTTGCAGTGTCAAAAGCCATTCTAGGTAGAATCCAAATCACCACTTGCCTTAGACACCCGCTCAGCTTCACTGCAGGTCCAGAGTCAGCCGAGGCCAGAACGAGAACCACTAGGAGTGGAAGCAACACTGTCTCGGTTCTCTGCACATTGTCCAGAAGTGGAGACCATTTTCCCCTCCTCCTCCAATAGCCTCAATGTAAAACAATCCCAGGAAGGAGTAGCTGGTGTGTTTCTGGCAAGGGCATAGAATGTTGAATAAATAGTCACCTGTTTACAGACCAGCAAAATGCTTCACCCCTCACTGTCTGAACTCCTAGGACTGGGTGTGAGTCCTGCTATTAGAAGAAACATTTCTGAAGTACCTCCCCAGGATCTTTCCAGCATTGGGAATCATAAAAGGAGCTAGGAGAGGGGCCCCATATTTTTCCTGTGTGTGCTGTGTTGCTCAGATATCACATCTAACCACTACTGCTTATGTCATAGGCTGAGAAATACCAGTGACTTTAGAGTGAAATGGGGAGTCCTTGGAAAATGAATCTGATGACATCTGCCTTAGCCTTCATTGCATGGATTGCTTTATTAGTTTTCGAGGGCTTCCAACACAAAGAAACACAAACTGGGCGTCTTCAAACAGAAATGTATTCTTTCACAGTTCTGGAGGTGAAAACGTCTGAAATCAGGAAGTCAGCAGGGCCATGCTCCCTCCGAAGGCTCCAGGGAAGGATTCTTCCTTGCCTCTTCCTAGCTTCTGATGGTTTCTGGGGGTGTTCCCCTGGCTTGTAGACACATCACCCCAATCTCTGCCTCTGTTGTTACATGGTCTTCCTCTCTGTGTGTCTCTTTATCTCTGTGTCTCCTCTCTTCTCATAGGGACATCAGTCATGTTGGATTTAAGACATACCCCCAATTCAGTATCATCTCATCTTAGCTTATTACATCTGCAGAAACCCCATTTACAAATAAGATCACATTCTGAAGTTCCAAGTGAACTGAATGAATTCATTCACTGAATGAATTTTTGGAGGACACTATTCAACTCACTATAATTACCTTTAAAACACTCATTTATGACTTCCCTGTTGGTTTCTCACTCACATTCCTTTCTGGACAGATGCCAGCGCTGCCACTTCTGCTGATTCAGCTGCTTTGCCCAGCAACCAAGGAGCCAGGTCTGCTCAGCCCTTCCATCCTTCGAGCGGCCCTGGCCAGCTGAGCAGGACACTAGAACACGGTAGCAGTGGCCCATGGGAAGAGATGAGGCCTCAAAAAATGAATGCATCTGGAGACCTAGCCTCCTTCTCCTGTTTGTACCAGCCCAACTCCGAAACCTCTGGTAAAACACAAAGGTGCACTTGGTGAAATCGAGCGCATTGATAGGAATGACACATTCCTTTCCTGGCCAGAGGATTTTTTGATTCCTCTGTTAGAACTTGGCTCATAAAAAATGATGGGACAATATGTGGATAAGCCAGACAGTGAGAACCAGCTCAGTGCTGGTTCTTTGTAAGTGCCTTCTCCTAGTCATCCTACCTAGGAACTCACTCTGGGCAGGAGAGTAGGAGAAGTCAGGGACATTCTGAGGTGCTCTACAAGGAGGATAAGTTACCTCACATTTAAATGCTGGCTTCTCTCTGTACTGCAACCTTCTTAAGCCTAGATTAAGACTGCCCTGGAATGCTAAGCTCAGATTCCATGGGGAAGGTCTTCCTTAGGTCAAGAGCTACTGTAGGATGGAAAACTGTTTCTACAGAGTCACCCACCCCTACACACTCTTTCCACTCTTTGACACACACCATGCATACAACCACGAGCCAATCCTGCCCCCATAAACATTGCTTTTGGATTTGGAGCCAAGCATCCTGGCACCCAGCAGCTAGGAGTGCAGCTATTTAGAGGAATGGCTTGAAGTAGCTCCATTTCTGTGTCCCGGGTAATACAACAATATGACATTTTAAATTCTCAGAGAAAAACCTGACCCTACGCAAAATCTCCCAGTGGGTAAAGCCTATTCTCAGCCTCCTCCCTCTGTGCATCTTTTTCCTTCCTTGGAGATTGTTCCCTTCTCTCCTGTTCCCCCTGCAGATCCTGACACCTCCCCAGGCTCTTTCATGTTCCTTTTTTGCCAAAGCTGGTTAAAGGAGAACATTCACTATTACTCATTATTCACAGCCTGGTTTAATTTCATATGCACTTACCTTGGTCTTTCTCTCTGTAAGTGAGTGAATCTCAAAGGCTGTTGAGTTGGGATCATCATGGGGGAGAGGGATGAGATGGAGAGGGAGATTCTCTGGATTGTTATCCATGCCCAGGAGGTAGACAGCCTTTCCCATTACTAGGCCAGTTCTGCCTAGAGGCCTTTAGTAGTTTCTCACCCCGTGTCCATCTCCCTTAGATGTACTTGGTGATCTCTGTCTGGGAGGAGGCCTGTGGTGTTTCCTCACAGGGGCCACCTTGTGGTTGAAAGCCCAGGAGCTTTAACTAAAGTTGCCTGGTGCTTCCTAAATGCCAAGGAGAGAGGAAGAAGCTGACGGAAGGATAGAGATAGGTAGAGATCTTGCAGACAGATGCCAGGCAGGCCCCACAGCTGCCCAGGGATGATCAGGCTTCCCCACCTCCTACCTCTCCTATGTCTTGGTGGTTTGCAGTACCGGCTGACCTGCTGGAAAAGAATCTTGCTGAGATCCAGAAACTGCGCCAGCGCCTGGAGGAGTCTGTCAGCCTCAATGACCGCCTGAGGGAGAGGCTGGAGCATGTGCTCAGCAATGGTGACCAAGGAAAAGGTAGAAAGGCAGAAAGTTTATGTTTCTGTCCACATCTAGGGAGTCTCAAAAGGGCATATAGCTTCTTGGGGCAGAGTGTTACAGGTGTAAAGCACATTGGTGTGCATGATTTCACTTGTTCCTTACAATCAGCCCAGATAGGGAAGCAGGAAGGGTACTATTGCTCCCAGCGAGTGGTTTGCCCCAAACAGGGCTAGGTCTCATTCTCAGGACTATCTGAAGTGATGTCATTCTTATATGTCCTTATACTGCCTGGTGCTGTTCTTGGACTTGTGGCCTGACTGGCAACTGGTAGCACCAAGGTTTCCATGGTGCCCACTTCAGCAGAATGAGAGCAACATTCCACCTTTATGCCATTACTACATGCCTTGGATATCACCTGCCTCTTCTCTTGTGCTAACGACCCTTATTCCCACACTCTTCACCCTGGATGCTCTCACTTGGAGACCAATTATTCTATACCCCTTCTTCTCTCATATTAAGGCCAGAAGAATGATGACCTACAACATCATAACCAAAGCCAGTTAGGGGGAAAGACCCTGGTCCATACCTGAAGCCATTGCATGTGAGAGTGTGTGGCCTACTGTGGTGTGCCCAGCAAAACCTGAGCCTGAGCCATACTGCACTGTTATCCCCAGTGCATGAGGACACCAGGTTTTCTGATTGGCTGAGACTAAAATTTTAATGGGTGCAGGAAAGTACATCTTTGAAAGTATCTGTTACCTAAAGATGCGACTTGTCTGGGTTGTTTTTATTCCCTGTGAAGTATCTACCTCCATCTTCCATGGGTAGGACCTGTAGTCCACACCCTAGTTCTGCAACAGGAAAAGGGCTCAGGGAAGAAAACTGGAGTTTTCAGGCTTCCAGAAGGAAAAAAATCAAAGCTGAAGTCACTTCCATATTTCTTCCTTTCTGCAGCAATGCCCAGTCATAGAAGCAAAGAGAAGTAGGCAGCACAAAAATTGACCAGACCCACACAGCTTAAAACTATCATAGCTTATTCCCAATCTAGATAAGGCTGCTTCTTACAAGATCCCACCTACATGTTCACGGACTCCTGGCTCCAGGAGTAAATAGTTCTGGAAAATCTACATGTCATGTTTAAGTTCCTTTCCCAATCTTTGCAGATAATCAGAGAGTCACTAGCTGTCAACTAGAAAACAGCTTGGTGTCTCTCTTCCTGTCTTTCCCACTTTCACCTGGGTATGGAATAGGAGAGAAGAAATATAAGTTTTTGTTTGGTACAATCAGTGAATTCCCTAATCCCTCCAGACTTCATTGCAACCCTGTCTCTCCCTCCCTAGGTACTGCACAGTCCACTGTAGCCCCTCGTTCATATACTCAGAGTCACTCTTCCAGCTGTGGCGAGGATATCCTGTGACGTGATGCCTAGAGGGTCTAGAAGAATGTTCTCCAGAACTTTTCCAGCCCTGTCCAACAGAATTCTTGGGTGGGAACTTGGAGGCATTGGATATTATCTTTAAATGAAGAGATCAAATTAATAAATTATTTTTTAAATTAGTGTTCATATTTATTTATTGAACACCTATAAAGAGTAAACTTTGTGTAGAAAAGAATAAAACCAGAATGGCCTGAAATTCGTGGAAAAGTTTAAAGGAGAAATGAGTTTTCTTTATTAGCTATCTCTGTTTCAGAAGACTAGAATGAGAATTTCACTGCTGTGGGAAGGTAAGAAATATTAATAGATCGTGAGGATGTAGAATTCCTTGACTTCCATTACATGCTTAGAAAGAACAGAAAAACTGTCATATGTGAAAAGATTGTAGGATAAAATTTGAATGTTTTAAAATGAGGATAACTTACCATATCAGGTGAGCTTCGTTCAAGAGAATGACAGAACCTACTTCTCAATGTGAATAAACATTGAGAAGTCGTGAAGAGCACAGTTGCCTTATGCCTGGAATATAGCCATTCTGACTACTGTGAGATGATATCTCACTGTAGTTTTAATTTGCATTTCTCTGATGATTAGTGATGTTGTGCATTTTTTCATATATTTGTTGACTGCTTGTATGTCTTTTTTTGATAAGTGTCTACCCATGTCCTTTGCCCATTTTTAAAATAGGGTTATTTGGTTTTCTCTTGTTGATTTAAGTTTCTTATAGAGTCTGGATATTAGTCCTTTGTCAGATGCATAGTTTTCAAATATTTTCTCCCATTCTGTAGGTTGACTGTATACTCTGTTGATTATTTCTTTTGCAGTGCAGAAGCTTTTTACATTTAAGTCCCATTTGTCAATTTTCGTTTTTGTTGCATTTGCTTTTGAGGTCTTAGTCATAGGCCAATGTGGAGAAGAGATTTTCCTAGGTTTTCTTCTAGCATTTTTATAGTTTGACATCCTATATTTAAGTCTGTAAACCATCTCGAATTAATTTTTGTATATGGTGGGAGGTGAGGGTCCAGTTTTATTCTTGTGCATTTGGCTAGCCAGTTTTCCCAGCACCATTTATTGAATAGGGTATCATTTTCCCCATTGTTTATTTTTGTCAACTTAGTTAAAGATCAGTTAGCTGTAGGTGTGTGACTTTATTTCTGGGTTCTCTATTCTTATCCACTGATTTATGTGTCTATTTTTGTACCAGTACCATGCTGTTTTTGTTGCTATAGCCTTGTAGTATAGTTTGTAGTTAGGTAATGTGATGCCTCTGGATTTGTTCTTTTTGCTTTGGATTCCTTAACCATTCGGGCTCTTTTTTGGTTCCATGGGGATTTTTTTTTTTTTTTTTTTTTTTTTTTTTTGAGACAGGGTCTCACTCTGTCACCCAGGCTAGAGTGTAGTGGTATAAGCTCGGCTCACTACAACCTCTGCCTCTGGGTTCAAGTGATTCTCCCACCTCAGTCTCTTGAAGTAGCTGGGACTATAGGTGTGTGCCACCACGCCTGCTAATTTTTGTGTGTTTTGATAGAGACGAGGTTTCACCATACTGGCCAGGCTGCCCTCGAACTCCTGACCTCAAGTGATCCTCCTGCCTCAGCCTCCCAAAGTGCTGGGATTACAGGTGTGAGCCACCATGTCCAGCCCCATAAGAATGTTATAATGTTTTTCCTAATTCTGTAAAAAGTGACATTGGTAACTTGATAGGAATTGCATTGAATCTTTAGATTGCTTTGCACAGAATGCTCATTTTAACAATATTGATTCTTCCAGTCCACAAGCATGGAATGTTTTCCCATTTGTTTGTGTTGTCTATTATTTCTTTCATCAGTGTTTTGTAGCTCTCCCAGTACAGATCTTTGACCTCCTTGGTTAAATATATTCCTAGGTATTTTGTTTATTTTATCTGTGTGTGTGTGTGTGGCTATTGTAAATGGGATTAAGTTCTTGATTTGGGTCTCAGCTCGAGCATTTTTAGTGTACAGAAATGCTACTGATTTTTTGTATGCTGATGTTGTAACCTGAAACTTTACTGAACTTGTTTATCAAGTCTAGGGGTATCTTGGAGGAATCTTTAGAGGTTTCTAGATACAGGATCATGTCTTTGGTGAACAGAGATAATTTGACTTCCCCTTTTCCTATTTGGATGATTGCTTTTCTATTTTTATTTTTATTTCTCCTGACTGATTGCTCTGGCCAGGATTTCCAGTACTGTGTTGAATAGGAGTGGTGAGAGTGGACATCCTTGTCTTGTTCCAGTTATGAGGGGCAATGCTTCCAACTTTTGCCTATTCAGCATGATGTTGGCTATGGGTTTGTCATAGATGGCTCTTATTATTTTGAGTTATGTTCCTTTGATGGCTGGTTTGTTGAAGGTGTGTATCATGCAAGGGATGTAAGATTTTATTGAATGCTTTTTATGTATCTATTGAGATAATCATATGGTTTTTAAAAATTCTGTTTATGCAGTGAATAGCATCTTTTTTTTGCATCTGTTGAATCATCTTTGCATCCTAGGCATAAAGCCCACTTGATCATGATGAATTATCTTTTTGATGTGCTGCTGGATTCAGTTTGCTAGTATTTTGTTGAGGATTTTTGCATCTATGTTTATCAGGGATATTGGCCTGTAGTTTTCTTTTTTTATTGTGTCCCTGCCAGATTTTTGTATCAGGATGATACTGGTTTCATAGAATGAGTTAGGAATCCCTCATCCTCAATTTTTTGGAATAGTTTTAGTAAGATTGGTACCAGCTCTTCTTTGCATGTCTAGTAGAATTCAGTTGTAAAATTCTGTCTGGTCCAGGGCTCTTTCAGATTAGTAGAATTTTTATTACTGATTCAATTATATAACTCATTATTGGTCTGTTCAGGATTTCAGTTTCTCCTGGTTCAATCTTAAGAAGTTGTGTGCTTCCAGGAATTTAACTATTTCCTCTAGGGTTTGTAGTTTGTGCATATAGAGATGCTCATAGTAGTCGCTGAGGATCTTTTGTATTTCTGTGGTATGAGTTGTAATGTCACCTTTGTAATTTCTTATTGTGTTTATTTGGATCTTTTTTTTCTGGTTAATCTAGCTAGTGGTCTATCAAACATTCAAATAACCAACTCTTCATTTCATTGATCCTTTGTGTGTGTGTGTGTGTTTTTTTTTTTTGGTCTCTGTTTCATTTCGTTCTGCTCTGATCTTAGTTATTTCTTTCCTTCTCCTAGCTTTGGGTTTTGTTTCTTCTTCTTTTTCTAGTTCTGTAGGTGTGGTATTATGTTGTTAATTTGAGATCTTTCTATCTTTTCAAGGTAGATATTGAGTGCTATAAACTTTCCTCTTAACACTGCTTTTGCTGTATTCCAGAGTTTTTGACACATTGTGTCTCTACTTTCATTTGTTTCAATTTTTTTATTTCTGCCTTAATTTTATTGTTTACCCAAAAATGATTCTGTTGTTTAGTTTCCATGTATTTGTGTGGTTTTGAGAGTTCCTCTTGGCATTGATTTCTGCTTTTATTTGCTGTTGTCTGAGAAGATACTTGATATCATTTCATTTAAAAAAATTTATTGAGACTTGCTTTATGACTGAGTATGTGGTCAATCTTAGAGAATGTTCTGTGTACAGAAGAGAAGAACGTATATTCTATGGTTGTTGGATAGAGTATTCTATACACATCTATTAGATTCATTTGGTCAAGAGTCCAATTTAAGTCCAAAGTTTCTTTATTAGGTTTCTGCCTCAGTGATCTGTCTAGTGCTGTCAGTGGGATGTTGAAGTCCTCCACTATTATAGTATGGCTATTTCTTTGCTTAGGTCTAGTAGTATTTGTTTTATAAATTTGGGTGCTTCAGTGTTAGGTGCATATATATTTAGGATAGTTAAATCTTTTTGTTGAATTGAATGCTTTCTGATTACATAATGTCCTTCCTTGTCTTTTTTTTTTTTTTTTAAACCGTTGTTGGTTTAGTCTGTTTTACTTGATACAAGAATAGCAACTCCTGATCTTTTTTGTTTTCCATTTGCATAACAGATCTCTCTCTATCCCTTTACTTTGAGCCTCTGGGCGCTATAACATGTAAGATAGATCTCTCTTAAAGGTCACAGAAAGTTTGATTTTTTTTTCTCCCAATTTGCCACCTTATGCCTTTTTTTTTTTTTTTTTTTTTAAATGGAGTCTCACTCTGTCACCCAGGCTGAGTTTAGTGGTGCGATCTTGGCTCACTGCAGCCTCTGCTTCCTGGGTTCAAGTGGTTCTCTTGCCTCAGCTTCCCGAGTAGCTGGCATTACAGGCACCCACCACCACGCCCAGCTAATTTTTGTATTTTAGTGGAGATGAAGTTTCACCATGTTGGCCAGGCTCGTTTCGAACTCCTGACCTCAAGTGATCTGCCTGCCTTGGCCTCCCAGAGTGCTGGGATTACAGATGTGAGCCATCATGCCTGGACTACTCTATGCCCATTAAGTGGAGCTTTTAGGCCATTTACATTCAAGGTTAATATTCACGTGTGAGGTGTTATTTTTGTCATAGTGTTAAGCTAGTTGCTTTGTAGACCCAATTATGTACTGCTTTATAGGGTCTATGAGCTTTGTAATTACATGTGCTTTTATGGTAGCAAGTACCATCCATGTTTAGAACGCCTTTGGACATTTGTTTAGAGCCTGTCTGGTGTTAATGAATTCCCTTAGCATTTCTCTGTCTGGGAAAAACTATTTCTCCTTCATTTATGAAGCTTAGTTTGGCAGAGTATGAAACTTTGACGAGCACTTTTTTTTTTTCTTTTAGGTGGCTAAAAATAGGCCCCAGTCTCTTCTGACTTGTAAGATTTCGGTTGAGAAGTTTGCTGTTAGTCTGATGGGATTTCCTTTAGAGATAATTTGGTCCTTTTCTTCAGCTGCCTTTAAGATTTTTTCTTTCACGTTGATCTTGGAAAGTCTGATGACTGTATGCTTTGCAATGGTTATCTTGTGTAGTATCTTGCAGAAGTTGTCCGAATTTCTTGTATCTGAATATCAATCTCTCTAGTAAGACTAGGAAAATTCTTTCCTGAATTATTCCTTCAAATATGTTTTCCAGGTTGCTTACTTTTTCTTCTTCTCTCTCCAGAATGCCAATAAGTCATAGGCTTGATCGCTTT